TGACAGAGTAATTTAAAATAGGGGAGCCCTAGGGATTCGTATGGAGCACCTTATAAACTATGATTGTGAGAAGCCGTGGTTCGCCATACATTTAGGCCTTCTTATCGTCATTGCTTTCCCCTGGATAAATATATACCTAAATCCCATGCTATAATTAGAAATAACCGCACTTGACTTCATATTGTGTGCTATAGCTACGTCTTCTGCCTAATAGATATGCATTCCCAATAAGCATATGCTCATAGTTAGTATGCTTTCATCGTACCATACTTCGAAACCCAAAACCGAACACGAATCGAAAAATTAAAAGCTTGAATACGGCCAATTTCGCACCCGGCGCGGCCGAAGCAAAGGATTTTTGCAGCGAGCTATATGCTTTCTCCATATGCAACGAACCATTTAGCTGGACGACGTAAAAAATGCAGGGCACAATGGATTAATGAGCAAATATTTGGAAGTTTCCACTCATTGTATATATGCTCATTGCTTCATAGCACAACCACGTTGATGGCCAGGTCACCTTCAAAATTCCCCAGTTATTCTACAGAACAACATATTCGCTACAGCTACGTCAGTTCAAACGGGAAATCCCCGGATATTCGCTGCTATGGTATCTATTATATGGTATCTATTCGTTGGAACTCTTCTCCCCGATCTGTTAAACTAGGTGTTAGAATAGCGTTTCCCAACCTTTTTTGGTCGCGGACTGTTTTCTCACTGGCTAAAGCCTTTGCGGTTGTGTTGTTGTGTTGACGAAATAGAAGCAATTCTACTCAGAAAATATCATGACAATCCGTGGACACAAAAATGCGTGGTAAAGTGCCCGATTATATGTTGTTTTGATTCGTATTTTTGTGAATTCGACAAATCTGAGCTGTTTGTATAACACTTACGGCGCTCCAGTACTGTGCGACCAATGTGGAAGCAGTAAAGCAAAGAACCCTAAGAGAAAATGCCCTGATACGAATACTACAGTAGCACCCGAAATTTTGCGATTTGCAATGTTCAAAAAAGCGTTTTTAATCGGTGGAGGACCATCATAGAACTTAACTTATGGTGTTTTCCGTTTTAATTTTAGTATTTTGTATTGCCGCTTTTCAATTTAGAAAATTTAGGTTGCCACCATTAACACCTACCAGAAAGGAAAATTATTCCTCGTTGTTCGAGCTCGCGAGAAACGCCACTTAGATATCTATCCACGCGTTTGCCAACTTGTGTTTTCGTCGGAAATCCGCAAGTGAGTTGGGAACTCCAATCGTTTGATTAAGCGACACGCCTTGGGTGTCGCAGCTCGATAACCAGTTTTGGTTCCCCGCGGCTTCCCTTCCCCAGTAATTTAAATATCATTTATTTTTTATATTTTTGCATGTTTTTTACTGGTTGGAAAAAATAAACTTGACTTGAATTGTCTTGACTTGTCTTATTAAATATAAAATTTTATAATTAAATCAGTTGAATATGATAAAAAGACAGTACAGTCATACGATACAGTCAGGATAAAAGCAAATACCAATCCAGGGTGTGACATAAAGACAAGTGAAATACAAGAAATGGGATGGGGATATTGAGTTATATATGGATAGATTTAAAAGAGGTTTCTATATTTTAAGACAACTGATCTTTTTGTAAATAGTTTACAACTTAATTAAATCCGAAGCACCGCGCTCATAAGTGACTTCGAAAATTTTATATGCTTTGGATGGGTTATATATGTAAACACCAGAAACGACAAACTAGAAGTAAAATAGAAACTTCCATGTTTTCATATAATATACATCGAAATACTGTCGGCGATTCTAACAAGATTTTTTATTATATTCCTAAATTATGTATACTAGTCTCGGAATTGATAGCATAATATACAGTATACATCAAACAAACATTAAGAAATTGGAATTGTGAGATAAAATCCGAAAAAGTTCATTTGTTTCAAATGTTTGGGTTTTATGTGTATTCGTGTAATTTGATATTTTGATGGAATTCTGAGTATTTCCAGTCGCTTTAGAGGGCATAAATACACAGTTTGACCACATTTCAGATATATGTACTGCATTTATAATGCCAAACCACGGTGTTAGAATATTCATTTGCAACAGTCAGCACAGACGGTCTTCAGCAATCCAGTAGTTCCAGTCTCATGCTCAAGTGAGCGTGGTAATCAATTGGATAAATCCTGATTTATCTGGCTTCTATTGCTTCTGCAAAGCCGTTATCAACGGGAGTGTCGTCATTGCCATTTGCCTTAAAAATCAAAAGAATTTATGTATTTCATTATTATAAATATACACTCAATAAAATAGATGCAAATCTGACCCATATTTAGAGCATAATCCAGATATGGAAAAAACACAACATAACAAAAAACATAACGAAAGCGTTCCAGATTGTAGAAACTTTTTGGTATAACCATACACAAACAGGTGTTCAAGCATATACATTTTCTCCACTTTCGTAAAAGAAATCAACAATTTTATTGGTACCGTTTTTGGCGGGGAACACCGTGTACATACATACTCAATGTAAAAACATAATTATAATTTCAAATGTGTGAGATGTTCAATTCGACATAGTATATTGAAAAATATGAATACAATGTCATATTTTGAGTTATTATTAATGTATTAGTAACTAGACTAACCATTTCGGCATTGTAAGTAAAATAAAATGTTTTGAAGCAATGCTGTTCAGTGCAGGTTGTGCCAAGCTAAGAAATTCCGCAAACATACGATGGATATGCACTATTTGACTGTTTGAAAAAACCTACTTCAATCGAGGAATCCACACACTTTGCGAAAAGCACAATTCTGGTTCAGTCATGCCAAGGCACGTACAGATAGTGCAACAAATATCAGCATAAAAAATTCTGAATTTAAAATACATTTTCCGATCCATTTTCTTGGTATGTCCGCAAAGCCAAGACTGAATTTTCATATTGTACTTTGTATGACTTGGCATACTGGCTTCTTCTGTGTCTTCCTTGTGTAACAACGCCAGTGATTGATTGAGGTTTTTAAAGATCAACTTGCACACATTCACCAGATCGACCGAACATTGTCACAACGACAAAATCTCACTTAGCATTCAGAAATACAGTGTAGGCTTAATACAAACACGTTGTGTCAATAAAGTTACTTTACAATTGAAAAACAATTATTACAAAGGGAAATGATGACATACTGCAATGAGGGTTGTTTTATGATAATCGGTATTTAATAAAGTTTTTATTGACAAATTTATTGCACTTCTAAACATTTATTTGAAAATATCATTACTGTTCATTTTTTCTGTTTTTCTAGCTACCACCCTGTATATTGTAAATCAAAAGAGATAGTGCTACTTACTCTTGAACGCACACAATGAGATGCTTGAATTAAGCGTTATGTTGATAAGGGAACGATGGGAATGAGTGGATAAGTCTGTGATCGAAGATAGCGACCCGAAGAGATTCCAACGTAGCAAACACCTGTTGGCAAATATAAACTTTAATTTTTAATAAAACGAGCTCGAATTCGACAAAATAAACAAGCATATAATCCACACACTAATAGTTGAAAACTGACAAAATTGGTTGAAATCACATTTGAATTGATAAAAATAAAACACAATGAGGAGGACACATGAGCTAAAACAAAGCTATATCACATCTTTTATAGTGTCGGGAGTCTAAGCACTAAATCACTGAAATGGAATCACGGAACCAGGGCGAGATAAAGTAAAGTAAAGACATCATATCCCAACTCAACACCACTAAACATAAACAAAAACAGACGTGCTCAATAAAAAATGCAAACGAACTATTAGATTAATGGAGGTGAAGTTTCGTTTTTGGATATCCGCTGTAGGACACCTTTATTCGAAGTCGTTATGTCTGTATGTGTATGTGTGTGTTTAGCTGAAGGGTCCAAAAGGCTAGACCGATATTGATGAAATTTTTAACGTGGGTTATGCTGCCACAATAGTTGGGAATTTGCTAGTTTTTCTTTGAAATTTGTCGCCATTATTTTGTACACTATCTTGACAATTAAAATTCCAAGATCGCTACCCCTAACAGAAGTAAATGCTCTTTCGAAGAAGCCATTTTCATCTTGTTAATCCATAAACTGGGGAAGCCTTAGGCATTTTAGCGAACACGATTAATTATTAGTTGCAGAATATCGCTTAAAACAGTACTCCCGAAGTGTGTGTACCAGGTTAGAGTTAGACCATAAGTTTATTCCGATTTTCCTTGTTTTATATATATTACGAGCCCGGGTACTGTCTGTGTTAGCCAAGTGAATATCCCACTGCCCATAGGTTTCGGTCCCTTCACACAAATTGATGTAAAATAGGCAAACAAAATTAGTTACCTCCATATTGGTACTCATGAGTGCCCTCAAAACGAACTTGCAGTTCAGGTATCCTGGTCACTGCAATACTGCAGTACGCTGTCTTTATAGGTGCAATTTTGCGTAAAAGGTAACGGTTTATTGGAATGCGGGTCGCCTTATGTATCAGCGGAGATCTTTCGGCTTGTTTTAATATTATTGTATTACGTTATTTAATTAATGAAATGAGAAGCAAACTTTTAATTACTAACGCAAATAAAACAATACGATCCTTGAATTTTAACGTTTACGCAGATGAGTTTCTACAGCGGATCATGTTTTCCACTGTTATTTACAATAACAAAATACTTGAAAGAAATAATACAGTAATAACGGATCTCGATACTCAATCTTGTGATATTAGTCACAAAATACCAAAGATGATCGAATTACGTACTCTTGAGCTGAGCGCTATTGTCTAATATTATAAAAACGCTGCACGTAATTTCAGTGGTAAGTCATGCGATGTGCTTTGCAAACGACATGATGCGATTCATGTTATTACCATCTCTCCTATTACATAAAATTTACATTTTAAATTGCTAAGACATAACCGTGACATGCCTAACATTTTCTTTTAGTACATACGAGACACTCGTAACAATACATAGTAAAGAATATAGATAATACGGAGAGTATTGAGTAAGTGGATTATTGTACGCGAAAGCTAATTTATAATTCGATATTTTAACAACAATGACACGTAAGTTTTTTACTTTTTAGGTTTGGTATTTTTAGGGTCAATATAAACGCGAACCTACTATAAGCGAGCTGTGACGCGGGCTGTATTCAAACCTTTTATGTTTATATTTACAGCAATAGTGTTCCAGCAAGATGCTAGACTAGGTATAGTTATAATTTCCATAAACAGGATGTGCGACTTTTCAGAATACGACTTCGTTAATAAAACGCAAATACGCAGATCCAGGAGTCTAATTGCTTTACTCTGTATTTCCAAGTATTTATACTGTTTCAAAAAGCATCTAAATAACTGCTTTTTTAGAAAGCACGACCCTACTTTTGTATTAAAATCAGTCATATTTCGCCTTATATAAACCCTGCATGCGTACTTTTGGTGACTGGGTATTCCACCGAACAAGAGGAATTGATAAGAGACGTAGTAGACATATGTATCGTTTTGTTGATATTTTGTTGTTCTTGTTTTTAGAATTTTTTTTGTTCTATCATTATTGAAAAACCGCTTTTTCTTTAATTATTGGCTTTAAAATTTTTTAGAGGTTAAAGATTGTATTTTTCGCTGGAAGGCTATTACATTTATTTATTTTCAAAAATTTCCGTGGGCTCTAAGAGATTCGGTTTCTGTGATCGATGACGTCTTCAAAATTAAAAATAGCGCTCCATGTGGCGATTTCGTCTTTGGTTCAACGATCTTGTGGTACAACGAAGTCGTGAACACTGCGGTTATCGGTAGGCTACTGTGAAAGACCGTATACGCGTGCTACTCTGTGTCCATATATTTGAGCATCGCTCTTCTGTTTGACATAAGACTTCTGTTATAGTTATAGTAAGCAAAACTTACCAACTGATTGCTTTCATTCCAGAGTAATACATGTTTTCTCTACGTCAATTCATATTTATATTTTTAGTTTGTTTTAAATTCAGATTTGGTGGAAAAGAAACCTCCTTTCGTTGAATCAAACACTGTTCAGAATTGCCATAATTGTGAACATGCATTCATAGACTCCAGGTAAGATCAGTCTGTTTCTTTCATCAACAAAATGCTTGTGTATCGTAGATTATACCATTTGCTGTACTCCGAGCCACTCCGAGAGACGAATATTTAAATTTTTGGACACTAAATGAACATAACGATCGTTTTGATATTAGGTTGTTTTTTGTTGGTATTCCTTTTCTTCTTCTTGTTGTGAACAAATCACTTATCTTGTTCGTTACTGGACTAATTGCTTCAAAATTTTCGATGTTGAAGATTGTTGTTGTCTTTAGAAGTCTATTAATTTTGATAATTCGATGAAATATTTCTTTCATCCAGGGGAACTCGGTTTTGAATCTGTCAATCGTGACGGCGGTTTTTGACTGGAAACGACGCGAAACTCGAATATTTTTTGATATGCTACCGGTAACAATATGTACGGTACGAAAAGTACTTTGTTTTGAATTTCGTCGCATCGTGAGCATCGCTCTCGTTTTTGTTGTTATTCGTCTTGGTATTTATTTACGCATTTCATTGACGCGATTTTTCATGTTCTACTTTTGGTAAAGCATGGATATTTTTTATTCGTTCCGTTTGCAACATCGAAGGAGACGTCTGAATTTTCTTATTTCATGTGATCCCGGCTTAGCAATTATACTATTATATCGTACCATAACCAAATAACCCAGAAAAAATAATACGCCCTGAATAACAAATACCAGAAAAACAATTGCTTAGTTTAATAAAGTAGCCCATAAAATTTAAGAATCAACTGCAGAGCATGTGGGAATGTTGTTTGTGATGAATGCAGCAAAAATAGAATTTGGCTTCCATACCTTCCCGAAGGAGAGCCTGAAAATGTTTGCGACAACTGCTTTGATAAAATTCAGGTAAAATGTGCTTCAATTTTTGACAACAATTTTTTAATCTTACCATATGCTTTGTTTCTCTTCAAAATTCCCAACTCTTTCTCTCTTCGCTTCCTTATACTCACAAGTAAGGTACAAGTTAATAACAGCGGTTGGAAAGTCACACCCATCCATCGCCATTACATACAAAACAAAGCAGTTTACAATACGAGGCTGAAATTGGAGAATTAGCACTAAGATGCTGCCGATGCATACAGAATTTTAAAGACATGCAGAGGGTTAAGTGAGTAAAATTAAATCAAATAAACTCAAATAAAAGATAATTAAACCTTAGCGTATCAAAGCGCTTGAGGCCTGGAAGCAAACTTGAAATAACTCGGGTGATATTTTTTTTAACTACGATTGCTTTGTTACCTTTGACATATGCTGTGACTTGGAGAATTGAAATTGACGCAAAAAGGTCTCGTTTTGATACTCCCGTAGTATGTGTACCGATTTTTAGTTCTATTACAAATTCGTGGACTGTTTGTATTAGCCAACTGAATATATCCCCTACCCATAGGTTTCAGTCATTTTACACAACTCGATGTAAAGTAGGCGAACAAAATTAGTTACCTTAATATTGGTACATACTTCTGAGGCGCCCTCGTTTTAATTCAAAAACATTTGATTACTACGGTACTTAAACTTAATGCTTCAAGTCTCTTGACTCTACTCGGACATAACGAGATAAAAATAAAAGCCACTCGGTAGCACTCACTTGTGCTTGTTGTAACATGGAAAGTTTTGTATTTAAATGGGACTAGTGATTAACAAATAGTATATAATTTTGGGAAAATTTATTCTTTGCTCGTACTTTAAAATCATTTTCAAAATTTATTTTGGCAGCTTTTGTGAAAAATGCAAGAGAGCTTTTTGCATCAAATGCTTGGATGCGAGTGATCACCACAAGAATAAAGATAATATTTGTGACAATTGCAAAGGTAAACCTGATTGATTATCATTTTGAAATCCTATATTAGGTGAGTTAGTATGACAAATCAAATGCCTGTGATAGAAACTGGCTAAATATTCTAGGTAATTGAATTGATTGAATTTTGTTTGCCTATTTTACATCAAGTTGTGTAAATGTACTGAAACCTATGGGCAGGGTGTATATTCACTTGACTAACACAGACAGTCCCCGAACTCGTATTAGAACTAAAATAAGAAAATCGAAACTAAACTATGGCCTAACCCCAACCTGGTACACGTACCACGGGAGTTCAGGTATATCAAGTCAAAGAAGGAAATGAATGAATCTTAATATGTAAGCATGATAGTAATCTTATTCAAAGCCTAGTATTATATATATAATTCCTTTTTTACCTAACAATTTCTTACAATATTTAATATTTGAATTTTGCATATGAAGAACTCATTTGGTAAAATTGATCAGCATATTTATACCATAAAAAGTGATGACATAGTAAAGTTTTTCGGTCGTTTGGGGAATTAATTCTCCAGATATTCAGAACAAGAACGTCTATTTTTAGATGACGAGAGTGAAAGAAGATCCTCCTCTTCAGGCAGAGCAGGTACAATTGAAGAAATAACTAAATATCAAAATATGAGAAGTTCAATAGTCCTTATTTATATCCCTAAAATATTGGATAGTTAGAAAGAGACTGCAGTAAAATTGATATATTATATCCAAAGAAAAAAAAATTAGCCTGGCTTGAATGCGGTGAAATTTTGTTAATACACCATTAGGAATTGTTACTATTGGCCGCCAGCTGGTTCCATGTTTTTGCTCAAGAAATAGCAGCAAAGCGGCTGCATATCAAGAACTTAACGGTATCCCAGAAATATAAGCAGCCGATCATTTGGCTCTCCAGTGGATACTCCCGTAGAATGTGAAACAAAATGGCGGACACCGGAACGTAGTATGTGTATCAGGTTAAGGTACAAATTTCAGGTACAAATACTACGGGAGTCACTTGGCTAGTCTCCAAACTCGTAATAGAATTAAAATGAAGTAAATTGGAATAAAATTATAGCCTAATCCTAACCTGGTACACATACTACGTTCCGGTGTCCGCCATCTTGGTTCACATACTATGGAAGCGCCCTCCAGTGTATATGTATGAATATGAATTGATTTTACATCGTCATTCATTGCATTGCGTTTTAAAGAAGTCACGATCTCTTGTATGTTCAGGGTCGTACGATCCGACAGATCTGTCGGACAATTGCTGCGATTCTGACTGTTGCATGTTATTCTGTGAATGCATGGAGTTGGGAGTTGCCATTGGGGAATTATGTTGCTGTCTTGGCGGGATAATGTAAGTACTATTTGCCGTAACTTACATTCAATAATCTTCATTTGGCAAACAAAACAGTGAAAATATACTTTTTGAAGTAGAATATTTACTTTATCACATCCTGGTGTAGGTTTAACTTTCCAGCTGGAAGATCCTAGACACGAATATCGATTTAGAGTTTATATCACAACGATATCAACCATAACAATTATTCCAGGCTCTTGTATTTGTAAAACATGCTCGAGAAATCGGAACGTTTGGAAAATTTCAACTAAAATGGTTAAATGAATAACAGTTAATTGAAAGTAAATTTGTTTTCATTGATTCATGCCTATTTTTAATAAATATTATTATTATAAATAAAAAAGTATATTTTCCAGCTGTTCCGATCCTGAAGACGATTAGAAGAAAATTAGTCGAAGACTTCATATTACTATTTTGGGATTGAAAACATTCACATAGAGCCGGAACTATGTACTGCAAACTGGAAAATGTACATCCATACAGTCTTAAATAAAAATGGCAAAAGTTGCAAAGGAAATTTATCAATACTATATATTGTTTTGGCCTTCACCGATGTATAAATGAACTAAAAGTACTTAAACAAGTACTGATTAAAATTCAACAAACCTGGTTAAGATATATTGAGAACAGACGTCATACCAAAATTGTTAAAGGACTACTTTATGAACACCCTCACTCTATTGATTTGCTTATGTATTCAAAAATCGGGTCTCATGAAGTACTTCTAGCGGACGTAGCATAATTTTTTTTCATATGATATTTCTAACCAACACCTGACTACGTCGTCTAAAATTGATGTATAAAAATACCTAGTATAGCCACGATGGTCGGAAATGGTATCTCTTTATGACGAAAAACAAGAGAAATAGGATGATCGTCTGTGCGTTTAGACGACCATCCGTATACTTTGGAGGACCTTATTACGTCACTGTGACGTATTCAGGTGGGGGTTAGGATCGACATATGCAGAAATTGTTGAGCCAGGCCAACTAGAAGTACTTGTCGGCGCGTACTTCGGGAGACCCCAAATATATAATGAAATGTTTTATGATCATCTGCAATACAATTAAACGATTGGGTATGAGTTTTTACATGGAAGCCTATTCTGCTAACTAATATTACAGGGACACTATTCTTCATTTCTTTGATTTATGCAACAACTCTGTCAATGAGAATTTCACATATATTTCTTTTGAAGATTCAGCATTAACAAATATAACATATAAAAACAACTTGAACGTGTATGTGATGAACATTAAAGTTTTGTGCCACGTTCTGCCTTGGATCAGGGTGCGGGTTACGTTCATACGTTAAGCACTCTTGTTTTCGATGTTGTTTGAGAAAAAACTGCGACATAATAAACCCAACAATGCTGTTACTAAGCGAGAAAACAGGAGAGCGATTCTCAAATATATGAACACAGAGTAATACCGACATGCAGTCTTTCGCAGTAGACTTCCGTACCCGCAGTGTTCACGTCTTCGCTCGAGCGCAAGTTCACTGTGCAATGGCGGAATCGCCACAAGTAGCGCTATTTTTAATTTTGATGACGTCATCACACACAAAAAAACGAATCTCTTTGGAGTTCGAAATAATTCATGAACAAATAAAATTAATAGCTTATCAGCGAAAAATACAATCTTCAACCACTAAAAATTTCAAAGCAATTGATCGAGTAAACAAAAAGAAAAGGCAATTTTTTAAAAAGAAGAGATAAGAAGAAAAATTCTAACAATATGAACCACATAACAGACAAAACGATCCATATGTTTGTTTACTACTTCGAGTTCAATGATTTAAATTTTCTGTTTAAAATGTGTGAATGTCAACAATCATGAACTTTTCTGTTGGAAAATAAACAGAATTTTTTATTTCAGGGTAGATTTTAGACAATGTGTGAAAGAGATGTATAAACAAATACGGCAGTTAGTTTGAAACTGTTTTGTTTCTAAATAAATAAAGAATTGTGCTTAAATTTCAAAATATTATTTTAACTCAGCATTTATTGTGATTGAGTCTTTATTGCGGATTGAATATCCTAGTAACACAGCCATATAAAAATATTGATTCAGACAATATTCACAAAAACAAGTTGAATTCAATCGCGAGACGTAAATATGTTTTGTTATTGTCAGTTGTCGCCGTACGCTGTTTTGCTAAGACAGATTAATAATCTTAACGACGTATTTGGAGTTACAGAAAATGACAAAAGCCCCTTTTTTGCAGACTGTAAAATGGGTATGATAAACAACGGCTAACACGCAATAGTTTCTGGTATAAAAATACAGACTGAGGTTAGCAAAAAGGCTTTACTCTTCAGGCATTTACAACGGGTGGATTTAATTGGAAACCAAGTTCGGACCTTAGTGATTCCCTATTCCACATCCACAACTGTATTACCGCTCACTCGTTGTGAGTGTGACGCAAATAATCTGGCTTTGAGCTAATTGTTTGATTCAGTGATTAACCGCTTTGTAAATAAAGCTGGGCGCCTCCGAAAGGCATAACAGGTAGAGCAATCACTGAAGCACATTGAATAAAGCACATTTGATTTTTGGACTGAACTGCCTCTAAACACCCAAATATCTGTACATTTTATATATTTTTTCTACAGCAGTAATCCTTGTTTGTACCATTGAATATGAATACTCTGAAACATATTCCGTGTATTTTTTTCGTGGTGTCCTATTTCTCAATTTATGCAACTGGACAGCAACAACCTTCAGAAAAGTGTGCATCTGCCATTGCTGCCATTAGAAGCATCGTTAACACGGTAGATGGGAATATTGCAGAAAGAGATTGCGGAGAATGCCAGGTAATATCATTTATGAGTACTTTGATATTGTGTATTGAACTGAAAGTCGTTTCCCTTTTTTTATATTTCGTATTCGTAATGTTTATTGGACATGAAGTCGACCTATAGATTGTTTTGCTATTTTGTTGTTGATCATCCTGTTAGGATTATTTTCCTTCTTTTTCTTGTTGCGAAAAAAAATTGCTTTTGTCTTTAACAATTGGACCAATTGTTTTTACATTTCAATGATTAAAGATTGTTGTTGTCGCTAGAGGGCTAGTACTTTTATTTATTTCTAACTTTTTCATGAATCCTATGCTATCTGATTTTTCATCCAAAATTTCGCTGTATCATTTTTTTTCTTGGGGACACGTTACCGGTTCTGTTAAAGGTAATGTAGACTGGTAAACTACTGTTTCACTTTGCTCTTCGTATCCATATATTTGAGCATCGTTTTCTCACTTAGCCTGCAAAGAAATATAATTTATATATATAATGTTTATATAATTATTGTACGAGAAATTGCGAATCTTTCGATTGATTAAAATTATGTGGTATTAATTTGGAGTATCTAAAAGTAAACGGTACAATATGAAAGAAGAAAAAAATCTTTCAAATTACTTTTTAACATTTTTTAAAATATTTTGAGTATATTTGATTGAGCGGTAAATTAAAAAAAAAAAATATGCTTTCTGTCAAGTTCGAAACTCAAGACTTTGTTCCTTTTCCTTTTTCTAATGATAAAAGATTTATTAATATTCTATCGTAAAGCTATGAAACACTCCATTTTTTGAGACTAGACGATGCGCAAATACCGTAACTGTGAAAATATATTTATTTTAATACCAGGGTTTTCCGGGAAAGCGCGGACCAAAAGGTTTTTCAGGTCCTGTCGGACCAAGAGGATCTAAAGGGGACTCGGGCTCGTGCGTTTGTGACTTAAGTGCTGTTGAGCAAATTGAGAAAAGATTGCGACGAATGAATGAAGGTAGGATACGCTTATGTACATCCCAGTTTGTTTTAATTAAACATGGAGTTTTTATACAATTCGTAGCAGAAAACTACGTTTGCACAAAACATTTTTAATTGCATCTATGTTAGCAGAACAACATAGTAGATTTCGAATAATCGAATAATTTTGACACAGACATGTTTGTAAGCGCATTAAATACTTCAATTCTCATCAAAACTAGCTGTAAAACAATTTTATTTCCTGAAATTTGAAAAGATAAAATTACTCATTATTTTTGTGTAAAGAAATTCAATGAAATGAACCTAAAACATAATATTACTAAAAAAACAATCCGAAGATTGCATGGCGGGTGGCGTAATCGTTAGGAAGACGCTTGTCATAGCACCTCTTGTGGGGATGATAGGATTAGTGGACTTTTCGCCGCCGTAGGGTGGTTCACGTAACCACTGGTCTGGTACAGCTTCCTCCGCCATCAAGTACATGCATCTGAAACAAAAAACGTGGCGAACGTGGACTGGTTATCACACGAGAAGCTGTGTTACGCCATATGTTTAACCCGTCTTATCGGCTACCCTCTCTCCCGGGATAAAAATGATGTCTTATCCTTATTGAATTAATCTAAGCCATGAAATTAAGCAGGTATGTTATGATGCATTTCTTTTGTTTAGAATATTGCTACGCTGGAGTTTACAGCGGATACATTCCCATGTCCCGCATCAAAGCATCATCCATTCACTATAGTTGTCCATTTCAATATCTCCGACTACACAACCCTTCAGGAGCATGGTGTGCAGCAACAAGTATGTGCTTGTGTCTAAATTTTAATTAAATCATAACTCAATGCTATGAATATAGACGAAGATGAATTGATGGAAGCAGCAAAAATGTTTAATATATTTTATTTTACAATAATTCAAATAGCCATAGCTGGATATTTTTGCAGAATCGTGCAAAGCTTTCAAATATTTCCTCTGCTTACACATTTAGTGAATATTCCTAGTTGAGATTGCAAACCGATCAGCATGCTCTCGACAAATGCAAGCGTGTTGAAACATTCAATTTTGATCCGCCATTGAAAAGGAAATTTACTTTGCTATGGTCCAACCCAATACCTACAGTCCTATATTATATTGTTCTACTATGATACAAAAATTATTTGTACTGAGTAAAACCGTTTAGTACTATTAGACCTCGCGACAAAGTGTTCCAATCGGCTGTCACCAAATTACCTCCGCCCTTTGTCCAACAAAGAGTTAATATTTTGCATGGATTATAATTTATATAGCGAAAAAACGGCAATAAACAATATAGAATCCAAAATACCGCTCCGTTTCATTGTCGGTGATTGTAATATCAAGTGATACTGCTATATAAACAATTATCTCGATAAGTCTATTTAGTTTCATGGAGTCTGTAAACGCAAATAAAATAAAAATCTTTGACTACATGGCCAGGCTTAAACCACTTTAAATTAATCTGTCAGTGAAACTCCCGAAGTATACTTTACTCATGCATGTCACATCTCTCACGTCAAGTTATTCAATGTGTGTTTACAAAAACTTTTTATGGTTGGAAGGTTCATTTTTTGGTACTCCCGAAGTATATGAACCCAGATGTCGGACGTTTTTTTTTTAGGTTCTATTACGAGTTCGGGGACCAGGCAATTGACTCCCGTAGTATTTGTATCTGAAATTATGGCCTAACCCTAACCTGGTACAAATACTACGTTCCGGTGTCCGCCATCTTGGTTCACATACTTCGGGAGTAACCTGTTTTTGTTATGCTCATATTATATTACGCCGTTGTGGTAGATATAATTAATCGGTGAAATAATATAATATAAATGAATGGTGAAAATAAAATTGTTCACTAGGATTTGTCTGAAAGACAAGTTTCGGTACAGACCAGAAGGATATATGTTTTTGTGAAAGTATTCCAAAATAGAGGTGGAATGTATCGTCTCTTCCTTTTCTAATATTTACTAATAATCTAAAATCATTAGTTACTGCTGGTTTGGTCACTCAACACAAAAAAATCCAAATTTCTGCTGTTTTACATTTTCTCACATTAAGATGATGTGACATTTTGAACGGAAATATTAAACTTAACTATTTTTCAAATATATTAAGATAATGGAAACCAATGGCTGCAAGTTGATCTACAAGAACCAACAACTGTAGCAGCTCTGTTGACTCAAGGAAGATCGAATTGTTGTAATCAGTGGGTAGTATCGTTCAAAGTGTCGTACGGCAACAGTGAGAGTTCATTGGCAATGTACCAAGAAAATGGGGCCACAAAGGTGAATATCATTATCAAATCTAGATCGTTACAGATGAAAAAACGACGGTATTTATTATACAATATGCTCGATTAGGCGCTCACAGTTGTAAACAATAAAAACTACTTGTATTAAAAAAATTAGCAATATAATAAAACACAATGAAATACTTAAATTTCCTATATGTAATCGATTTTAAGATTTTCACTGGGAATCACGACAAATCGACTATTAAAGAGAATCGCTTCAGCCAGCCGATTACAGCGAGGTACATCCGGATTCATCCTGTCACTTGGCACGAACACATCAGCATGAGAATTGAAATTCTAGATTGCTGAGATTGAGGCAGAATACAGTCTTCCTTAATGTGATATTATTACTTGTTCAAATATAAATTTGAATTATGTACGTGTCTGCTTTTATTTCTAGCACTTTGTTTTGAAATATCAAATCACCGTGCTATGGCCATGTGTGAAACATGGTTGCGGTACTCTTTCCCGTCACTGAGTGATTCGTGTTGTCACAGGCAATTTCCTCTACACTGCCGGTTGGCATATATATAGTATGGTTAATGCCTAGTCCAACTCTAAAAGGTAATATTGGTCTTTTACAGTTAATGTTCTATAGCAGCGTCATATATTTCACGAAAAAGGGACTCCATTTTCGCTGAGAATGCCAGTGCTATAAATAGCATCGATTTCTAAATCGCCAGTCAGGCATTTAAAATCGTTGACGTGACTCGTGACGGGAAACGGCGTAACGGCGTTGCATTGAGAGAGGCCTGTGCAGTAATGATTAGAGGTGTGACGTCATCAAAATTGTCAGTTGAAGCGTTGAACTTGATAATTCTGTAAATACAATCGTGAATTTTAGAGTAACCATTCTTGCTATAATAGTGGTTTTGGTGTTGCTCTGTTGGAAAACAACACAAGAAAACGTTGAAATAAAAATTAATTAATTAGGAATAATTATCAATCCTCTACTAGACACTAAATCTCGCAAGTTCAAGGTTGTTCAATAGAAATTTTGGAATTTTTGTTTTAAAAAAAATGTCATTAGAGGAGTGTTTTTTAAACATATATTGCTGAATAGAACTCTATCACACGCTATTAAAAAGCCATGAGTGAAGCTTTGGGTCTTAATGGCCGACAAAAAAATTATTTTAAAAATAACCTATGTAAAATGGCGTATCTATCTACATCTAATATGTAAATAGTGTACCTACATTAGTAAGAATATTACTTTGTTCATTGTTGAGTTGAATTGTATTCCGTATGGATTTTGTTGTTGTCGATGTCTTCCAATGTGTGCTCTAAACAAAAAACTTGAAAAGGGCAGTTATATGTAAAAAATAATTATTTTATTCAGGTATATATAAAAAAAAAAAATTAAAACCTGGCCAGGATTTATTAAAAGGGAATACTTTAGTATTATTTACAAAAATTTATTACAAAAAAAATGTGAAGCCTGAAACGAATATATTACAGACCAAATAGGGAGACAAATCATAGTTTGTAGTGTTTTTCAATGAGATGGATGAGCTTGGGGTTCTTCATCGAGTTTTTTATTATATCTAAAATTATCCCGTTTATTGATGGAAAGGCGATTTAGTTGTTTTGATAGCAATAGTGTCACGGCTGAAAACCCTTTTTTTACCCTATCACAGGTCGGAAATGAAAGAATCCAGGGTTCTACCTCCTCAAAAACCGCCGTGTACTCTTGCCTTATAGCATTTGACTCCCTAAATTCATCCCGTTTCACATTAAAATAATGAAAACAAAATTACTTTTTCAAAACTTATAATAATGATTTAGATACATTCGGTACACATGTACATTTGGTGGATTTAGGTAAATATGTGCCATACATCGAAGTGAATATTTTCGCATGATTTGTGAAATTTTGATATATAACGGTTTTTGGTAAAATTCATCCCCATCCTACCACGTCCTCCAGTCCGATCACCAGTCCATAGAATTAATCAGCCATTTGTTTTGGATTCGTGGACTCGGATGGCTCAGGTGTCGGCAAATTTTACGTCGCTCGCGGGACAAAATTTAGGATGGCTTCTTTTGCGGATCGCATATATTTTTTGAAAGTTAAAAACGGAACATCGTGCAAAAACTGCGACAATTCGTGAACTCAACTCAGTCATCTTATAAAAAAATTATTACAAAGACATTTAATGTGACACTGTCTTGTTGCTGCATCACGCTTGATATCTTTACGACGCCAAGATTGAAAGATTTTTTAAATGGGCATAACTAATCCTATAGTACTTTGCTTGTTCTTTGTAATATTCATTTTCAAAAATAATTGTTCGCACAAATATGTAAATATGTACCAAACATCGAAGTGAATATTTTCGCATGGTTTGTGAAATTTTGATAAAGATTTTCTTTGAAGATACATTCTTACAAAAATTAAGCAGTGATGAATTTCACGAATAGAATATGAATTCTTGTTGCATTGCAATATATTCGAATATTTACTGCGCTATTGAATCCCTGTACTCAGCATAAACTTTTCTGCGTGTTTCCATTTGTCTAATTATAATTGAATTGTAGGCTCGTAAAACGAGTAGCTGTTCAATATAATTTTTAGGATATAATAAAATTTAGTCTAAACGTGTCTCACGATAAATTCTGTTACGTAAAAAAAACTGTAATTTACTCCTCGAGCGTAGATAATAAATAAAATTAATTCATCGTTAAAACCGCCGTTTGGATGTTTCCCCTGGCATAGACTTCCTTGTTTACTAGCAAGATGCAAAAATAAACGTAACAAACCCCCTTTCGCATCCACTCAGACACATCTCTCACTCAGACAGACTTTCAGGCGTGGTCGTGAACATTACCTCATTTTCGCGATTTTAAATTCTATTCGTTAGTTTTTAGTTGTCATTCGGAAATTTAAATAAAATAAGTCAATGATCACCTTGTCCTCCCAGGAGTCCCAGTTTAAATACAGTAATCAAAAATTAGTGTAGAAATAGCTTTGAAACAAATACTTCATTTCATAAGCAACAACTCGCGAAAACACTCTTAAAATAAACACCGAAAATTTTAGAATGGTAAAGTATGGGAAGAATTTTCCGGGGTCAAAGGTCGGGAAAAATTCCATTCACTGAAGCGTCCTTACTGTGAAGACGAGTCCGGCAATCCTTTTGCATGTGACATCGCCCATGTTATTCAAACATACAAAAGCACGCAGAGTAGGCCTACAGTAATCAAGTGCACGATGCGCCGACCAAAAACAGGTTTCGCGAAATCGCCCCCTATCGCCCTCTTCGACTTTTTCGCCCACCTCTGTATCGTTTTCGCCCACCGGGAGGCGATATCGCCCACTTTGGGAATCACTGCTCTAAACCATAAACTTAAAAAAGGCAGATATATGTAAAAATAAATATGTTATTCAGGTATATATAAAAAGAAATTTTAATCCTGGCCAGGATTTATTAAAAAGGAATATTTTAGTAATATTTACAGAAATTAAGAGAACATTTAATTGTCGTCAATATACGTAAATTTAATAAATCAAGCTTCTGGAAATCACAATAATTGAAAGAAATACTCTAACAGACCAAAATGGTTTTTTATAATTTCTTTGTGCAAGTAAAATGGAGGGATTACGGGATTGAAAAATGATAAAAAAAAAAAGCTAAACGTGATAAAGATAAAAATGCTACAAAACTTGAAAGAAAAATAGTATTTTGGCAAGGCCAATGCCGAAATCTCAACGTAATTTAGGTAGAGCGAACTAAAGTAGGCGAACGAAATTAGTTACATTCATATTGGTACACATACTTCTGGAGCGCCGAAAAATCTTCATCAAATATCGTTCCCTGGTAAAACAATGAAAACTGAATTAAACTAGTTGCTGTATTACAACATTTCCAAAACGGGGGGAATTCCTCCCCAGAGAGAAATTTTGATGTTATTTTGGAGCAAATATCACTTTGCATTTGATGTATATTCAAAAATAATGTTCAAATATTTAGTTTTTTTATAATACGTATTTATGGATATCTTTTAAGTTACTCACAATGTGCAAAAGCCAGAGTGCACCAGCCAGAGTTGTTCATAGCGCTGGCTAGGGATCCATTAAAAAATTAAAAAAAGGAAACAGAATTTTTAAGTGTAGTTGGGAGGAATAAAAAGATCCAAAAAAGGCAAGGAGGAAGAGGGCAAAAAGGAATCTGTCGAAAAAAGGTAAGAACCACTGCCATATTAATTTCAGTGAATTTGTCGTTGCGAACTTATACAAATTATATACACTGTTACTGTTTACTTTCTAATCGTATGGTGCTCTGAAATTCATACCACGCATTCAAATCGAGCGTTAATCTTAGAATCTCATCACTTTTTACTATAATATTAAACAAAGCATCACACATAAGGTTGCTAAAGTACTATTCGCAAGCAAATTAATCGACACAAAATTTTACAATGACTTTAAGAGATTGTGAATTTTTAACAATATTTAGAGAATATTAAAAATTTTGATACATGATACCCAGTTAAACAAAGAATTAGGGACCAAAATAGAAAAAAAAATATAGTACAGTATGGTAAAAAATTTAAATTTGGAACCTCTCTAATTTTCAAAACTTTCAAAAAATAAAGAACATATGCCGTACAAAACTGTATTTATGTGATAACATTTAGCTATCTTCTTTCTTTTCGATCATACCCAACGGGTATAAATATATAGTTAAATATAATGAAGTCATTTAATGCATTAATTCAGCTTATATTTCCGCATAGTACGAATCTTCTGGGATACTGATCGCAGGCGGAGCTTTCTTGCGATAAACTGTATTTGGCCTCCAACGGTATGCGTCTGTTCATTCCGATTGGGAACATGTGGAAGCAATGGAAGGTGTGCAGGTACAGCGGCCTTTCGTCTGAGCCTGAAAAATATTTTACAATACTTGCATTCCAATTTTCAAAAACAATTTTAAATATATGGAAGTTTATTCAAAAATCTTTTAAAATAAAATAATTTTTCGCATGGCAAAGTTAACTGATAGTATATAAAGGGTGGCCCAAAAGTAGGTATACAGTTATTAAACTATTTTATTGTTTAATAATTTTAATACCTGTATACATACCTACTTTTGGGCCACCCTGTATATTGCCAACATGAAAATTTGATGTATAAATTGTCAAATTCAACGTTGCTCACACATCTCATTCTTAACTTCAATTGCGTTGTAACTGATTCATTGTTAGAGAACCATAAACATCAATAACCGCACCAATTCACAATTAAACATGTAACTAACACGTTAGTCTAATTTTCGTTAAGGTAGATTTTGTATAGAAATAGACTGCTTTCTTTGTTCGATCAAGGCAGAATTGACAAACTGAATTATCGGACACGAAGT